AAATATAATTTTGAATAAATTTGAAAAACTTTTTTTAAATCGCTAAATTTATACAAACCGTAACAAATAAATTAGTGAGAAAGTGATGGTATCGTCTCAAAAATATCTGCGGTTTTCCAAGAGGTGCTCGAAGGCTCGTCCAGGATCCTACCTCTTGCACTATAATACAATTGTACTGAACCAATAGTTACCYATACTGAAGTGAATTTCGTCTCTCGTCTTCGTGGAATGTTCAGACATGGTGAATAATAGTTATAAATGATTACTTTTTTATTATCTMTCCATATATTGACCCTATCTGAATGATAAGTAAATACGATAGTATGATAATATCGTTTGTTTTTTAGCTGTTACGTGTTGTTTTTAAAGTTAACCTAACTAATATACTYCGAGTAATTTKAGAAATCAGGACCAACCAGTATTAATTGTAATGCAGCCACTCAAAATTATATTACAATTTAAGTTAGTTGTTCCTATATTTATATTTGATTTAAATGGAAATTTATTAAAATAAAAATAAATTATTTGTTCTTTATAAGTACCTAAGTACTGTAATATAGTTTATCAATTACAAAAATTAGTTACAATGAAAAAAAAAAATACCAAATATAACAAAACTAATTATCTATGAAYTAAATTAAAAAGAAATGTGTTTAATATGATGAGTTATAAATGATTAAACAATAATATATGATGCAATAGTTCTTAAGTYTCAAACTTTGATAACGCGCTAGTTGAAATCCAAATAAATAGCAGCCCTCTTAAATCCTTAATACTAAAGAGTACCTATTGTAGTCCACAATTTGTAGATGACATTTGAATCTAAAAAAAACTTTTTCTGTCACATCACATATATTATAACGTTTCTACGTGAAATACAACTAGATCGTATTTGCTGCATCTGAATAATTGTGAGGTAAAAAAGAGCGATATTATAGTTGACAACTGAATTGCTCAATTGCGTGCGTGATTTTTTTTTCTTGCGTGCTTGTATTTTCTGTGACAGGTTCTAACTGTATGAGAAAAGTTTTAATATACAATCGGTTTTTATCTATCTGAACGTATATGTCGTATATTATAGCAAATGTAGCTAGATTGGTAGTAAGTTCTGTGGTAGTAAATTCTATATAGGGTTTCTCTGGGGTATGAGACTATTGGGTATTGAGTCTAGGTCAGTGAATAAGATAATATTATTATTATTTGATAAGTATACTGTGGTAACAATTTAACCTAGTAAATTCACATTTAATGTTGTCATACTCACCTGTCTAATTATCAAATAAAGAAAATTAATATTTGTTGTATTAATGTAAAACTATTAATATTTATTGTTCCTCCAATCTATTACTAATGGCGACAAAGAAAAAACTATAGAGGAAAACGCGATCGAAAAGGATAAACCAGTTAATGATGACGAGCAACCAAAACACGCGAGCTACAAGTGAAGGAGA